AGCAGTCCTACTGTGTGCAGTGTCATTTTACCACTCATCCTCCCAGCATTTCTCAAAGGGGTATCATGTCTCCCCTTTATTTTTTTTATATCTCCCCTTTATAAATACAGTTCTGAGACATCAGAGACCAAAGCTCACCCAAGGTCACATACCTAATACATGGCTGAGCATGAATTCAGCCCTGTGATTATACAGCTCTGGCACATTCCACTTAGAGCACTGCCTCTAGAAGATTACTTCTCTATCCCCAGTGACAATTCACTGGACTACCTACCTGCCTGCTGATAAATCTTCCCAGTGCTACTCAGTAATTCAAGGACCACAGCCCTGCAACACCTGGCATCACCAGGCCTACAGGAATTCCAGGTTGAGTGTCCAGGGGGCACTGGGAAGCAGGAGCTCAGAGAGAAGGAAGCCAAGGGGATGGTGGCAGCAACTAGCTCTGGGTCCAGATGACCACACTTCCCCGTCCCCACCCCCACCTCCCCCCATCACTACATCCTCCTAGAACTGAATGGAGCCGGAAGGGGATATCACCTCCCCTCTGGGCAGCGGAAAGAAGTTGACCTCGGGGAGGGACACTGCAGGGGATGGGTCACAGTGAGGGGAAAAATGGGAGGGGGTACTTTTCCCAGAAAAACAAAACACAGAAAAGTTTCCAGCTGTATCAGGCTAGTCTTGTGACTCCACAATGCTAGTGAGGGTGCCCAGGGTCTGTGTGGCTCTGGAATTGTATGGAGCTTCAGGATGAGTACGCAGGTCATCCCTGGCAAAGTCCTTGGTGAACAGCAGCTCTCCTTGAAGAAAGGCCACAGCACCACAGGACCTCAGGATAGAGGTTAAATGTGCCATGTGTCAGGACAGTGCTAAGCAAGACTGAAGAAGGCTGCCACTGGAAGCCCTCCCTCATCAGCTCCTCACAGGCCCCTGGTAATGATCATCAATTCTCCTTTCCCCACAACCACTCCCTCACTGCAAAAGGTTCATATTCTAAATGGAAATTCTGGACTTGCTATTCAAACATCATCTGATGACGAGTCATCCAGCTTTTTTCCAACTAGACTGCTAACCCAACTTCATCTTATTTAGAAACTTCCAGAGCAATGGTTAGCCTTTGGGTAAATGCCACACTGCCTTCTGGAGGAACAGGAGAGAGGGTTCTGTGAGTTTGATAGGATGTTACAAGAGGAAAATCTGTCCCCCATAGTAGTGAGAATAAGCCAGGGACTCCTGATGCAATCTGATCTCAGCACTAGAACCAGAGAGGGAGGACAACACACAGAAAGACAACAAGCAGAAGTTGCTGTAGAATGCAACAGACGAATGCAAAGTCCTCATGAAGGAGAGGATACTGACAGTGACCTCATGGCCTTCCAATCAGGAGGGACACTACAGGCCATGAGAAAGATAATGCTGCCTATGGAGAAAGAAAAGATGTCCCAGTGAAAGGTAGAAACAAGACCTTGTGGCCAAAGTATCAAGAGGCACTGCTGAGAGGGAAACATGATTCTAAGTATTGAAGAGCTCCCAGCTAAGGAATGTTAAGGGTGGGAAATCTCTTGAGGCAGGATGAGGACCACTGGATGTTCCTGTCATACAAGGGTCCACAATGTTCATAGACCTAGACATTCAAAACCGAAATTTTCCTTCTGAAAGGCTGCCTTAATACCTGCTGATAGTTCCTGTTTTTTCATCTGGGACCTCTGTTCTCCACATCTGGACTTCTCTGTTCAAATTGTAGCTACTTCCACTGCTTCAGTAGAAAAAGGCTGGGATGTCTTTCCCTTTCCAAGGCTACAGCTAGGATAGCTAGAAGGAAATCTGCTTCCTCCAGGTCCTCTTGGTATTTGACTCTAGGGATCAACACATAGGGCATGTTACCTACCTGAGTCTCATCTATCTCATTAATCATTCATCATTTAACACACTTACTGAGTACCTGCTATGTGCCAGGAGCCAGGGACACACCAATAATCAGATTACAGCTAGGCATGGTGGTATATGTCTGCAATCCCAGCACTGGGAAGCTGAAGCAAGGAGGATCACTGTGTGAACATAGTGTAGACCCTTGTATGACAAGGAGATCCAGACATCACGTGGTCCTCATCCTGCCTCAAGAGATTTCCCACCCTTAAAGTTACTTAGCTGGAGCTCTCCGATACTTAGATCTCACTATCTGGTCTTAAAATCACTATTCAGCCCAGACTGGCATTAAATCCATGGCAATCCTCCTGCCCCAGCCTCCCAAGTACTTGAGTTACAGGTGTATGCCACCACACTCATCTATATTTCTATAGTCTCATCTATATTTCTAATAGGAATATGAACCAAGCAAGATGGTACATGCCTGTAATCCCAGTACTCTGGATGAGGCCAGAAAATCCCCAGTTCCAGTGGGCAAGACCCTGTC